TTGCTATAGGGCTCATAGGCTCACCAGAGCCAGAGAGAGAGAGAGAGAGACAGAAAGTGAGAAATCACCCCTCAGGGGGATGGCCACGCTGCAACCCCTTCTCCGTTCTCCTCTCGGGATCTTGGGCACGCACGCACACTTGCCCAGCGTTGAGTTTTAAGCCACCGGGTCTGGGACTCGAACCGTGGTCGACTACATGGGAGTCCAGCAACATAGCCATTATGCTAACTGCTGGTTCCCTCCAGATCCAGTTTTAAGGACTGACAGATGCGCTGCTGTGGAGAGAAGGAGGCCCACCCCTTCCTGGCCTGAGATGGGAGGGGCCCAGAGGGACCTGGGGGGATGAGGGCACCTAGGAAGGACCTGGGGGAGACCCAGGAGGACCTGGGGCATCTGAGGTATAGAGGACTTGGGCTGGGCTCCTGGGCAGGGGCAGCCCAGCACTGCAGGGAGTGCTGGGCAGAGGGCTCGCGGTGGGCTCAGGGAGACTCCCGGGAGTGACCGGGATGGGGCCTCTGGGCCTCGCAGGCAGTGAGCTGGAAAGGATGGCCACGGCGACCACAGGGCTCCTGAAGGCTTTCCCTTCCTGACTTCAGACTGAAAGTCATGGCAGTGAATATTTGAGCAGAGCTTTCCAGGAGAAGCAGCAGGGAAGCCAAGCTGGGGGGGTGGGGGGCACTGTGGCCCGGCCCACCCTCCACCCTCCACCCCGGGGTCCTGCCCCCCATGAGCCCAGCTTTCTGGTTTGGCCAACGGGTTTCCTTGGAGCCCACCGGTGCCCAGGCCTAGCAGTGCCTGTGGGGGGCCAGAGCTGCCCTAACTGAAGGGCCATCTTCCTCAGGGCAGCAGCACAGAGCCTCCCACCCAGTCTACACTGTGGTCCCAGCGGCCCTACCGCGCCCAGGTGGAGGCAGCCTGGATGCTGAGCTCCTGGAGGCAGCTCCGAGGTGGGGGCAGGGACCCAGCATGCCCAGACGTGAAGAGGGCCTGGTCCCCCACGTGCCTGCCTCTCCCCATGCAAGCAGGATGTGCTGTCCCGACACCTGGCTGTCCTCCCACGGTGCTGCGCTGTTTCCGGGGAGACCAGGCTGGCCAGCTCCGCGGTGAGGACCAGTCGCTTCCTTGCCCAACAGCGCCCTCTGTCGGCCAGACAGAGGATGACGGTGACCATGTCCTGAGGTTGTAGGGCGCACACATGCGTATGAGCATGCACACTCACGTTCGAGCTCACACTCACACGTGTCCGTATGCACATTCAGACCCGTGCACATGCACATGCACACAGTGCTCACATATGCTAACGTGCACGTTCTCACCAGACACCCAGAAAGGCACACACATCTGAACACACTTGTACACACACATACATGCTCATGTTCACACTCAGACATGCACGCAGCACTCACATAGACTCACAGGCAGTACAGGCGCAGACAAGGGGTTCTGTGGAACCCCGGGGTCTGCTGCCTCCCTCTGTGGGCCCGGCCTGACAGCCTGCATGGTGGTATCTAGCCCAGAGCCAGCCTGGGCCCCAGCCTTCAGGGAACAGCCCCTGGGCTCTGCAAACCCCGTCCTCAGAAATCCCAACTCCAGGCAGGCGGGTGGTCTGCCTCCAACAGGGACTGTGTGCCCTGCCCAGGACTCACTCGGGGCAGCCACAAGGCCCGGCCTCTACCCCCACCACCTCAGTGGCCCCTCTCAGGCACCCTCAGCTACCTTGCCAGGGCCCAGTGTGCCTCCAGACCATCCCTTGCAGGCTCCTCCCGTCCTCCCACTCGTCCTTACCACATGGCCAACGTCCCCTTCAGCTATGCCACTCGAGCCCTAACCCTGCAGCCTCAGGAGCCTGCCCATGGCAAAGCAGGCGAGCAAGTGGCAGAGCCCCGAGCCAGGGCTTGCCCTGTGTTCACACGGGTCTGCCTGCCCTGGGCTCCGGCAGGGGAAGGGCCCACTGACGTGGACAGCAGCTGGGTGCGTACCGCCCCCCCGGCTCAGGCCACCTGTGCTCTGTCCTAGCAAACACCACAGGTACCGATGTCCACCTTAGGAAGGTGGGGAGGTGGCAATCTACCTAGGGTGACACTCCAGACAGGCCCAGTGTCAGGGCTGGGTCTTGGCCAAGTCCCATGCGACAGCCTCAGCCTCCACTCCGGGGAAACGGCGGAAGTGTGGCAGACGGGGTGGTCCAGGGGGCCTGGGGCCTGGGCGCCCTGTGACCACACGGTTCGTGCTGCCTGAGGCCCCTGTGGTGGCGAGCAGGGCCCATGTGGTGACCGGCAGCAACCTCTGTTCCACATTGCGTCAGGAGTTGAAGGCACAGAGACCCAGTGGGAGGGCCTGTCCCCTCTCACAGTGAGTGGCCAGGCACAGAGCAGGACCAGAGAACTGACCACACACCCAGGTGCACGCGGCCAGGATGCCTGGGGACGGCCACCCGCCAAGGGAAGGATGCTCTGACACGGGCAGCAGCACGGGGGGCCTGTAGGACCTTGTGCCCAATGAGATTTCTGGGTCCATGCTGGGGGACCGAGGGCCACTGCTCCACAGACGGTGTGGGACGGCAGCATCAGGCTGGGAGGGCCCTTGGTTCATGACACGGAGTTCCAGTCTCGCCAGGTGACGGGTTGGGGGGATTGGCTGCATCACACGGAAGGTGTGCGGGCACCTCCAGGCTGCAAGGCCGGCCACGGTTACCCTGGATGATCGGGTGGGAGGCGTCTGGGCGGCTCTCCCAGCCTTGGCCGGCATAGCCGGCAGACCCTGGACACCTGCAGGAAGAGCCGACTCACTCCGTAACCCCCAGTCTTCCTCTGGGTCTTTCTGACCACTGAGGAGACTGCAGGGAGTGTGTGCTTGGATGGAACAAGGCATCAGGACCCCACAGGGACAGCTCTGGAGCATGGGAGGAGTCCTCCGCGGACACACGCGGGCTGGGGGAAGCGGGGTCCTCGGGTCCTGATCCGAATATGCGTGTTCTCGGAGTCCCCGCCTTGGGCCCTTCCCGCTCCCTGTGGACCAGCTACAGGACTCTTTCAACACTCGTTCACGCTGGAAAACAAAAGTGTTAAGTAAATAGCAATCTTTGAAATAGTTTAATAACCATTTAAATAAGGTTTTTTTCTTTAAAAAAAAAAAAAAGTTTTCTCTACATAAAGTTAAAAACTCTAGTATTCCAGGGAACCAGCAGTTAGTGTAATGGCTATGTCGCTGGACTCCCACGTAGTCGACCACGGTTCGCGTCCTGGACCGGGTGGCTTAAAACACACCAGGCACGTGTGCGTGCGTGCCCAAGATCCGGAGAGGAGAATGAAGGAGAAGGGATTGCGGTGTGACCACCCCCCTGGGGGGTGATTTCTTGCTTTCTGTCTCTGTCTCCCTCTGTCTGTCTGGCAAGCGCACATGCCCTAAAGCAGGAAAAAAAAAACCTCTAGTATTCCAGGGACCAGCAGCTGGTGTAATGGCTATGTCGCTGGACTCCCATGTAACCAACCATGGTTCAAGTGCCGGGCCCAGTGGCTTAAACTCACGCTGGGCACATGTGTGTGCGTGCCCGAGATCCCGAGAGGAGGATGAAGAGATTGTGGCGTGGCTATACCCCCTGGGGGTGATTTCTCACTTTGTCTCTCTTTCTGGCGAGCACACATGCCTTATAGCAAAAACCTCTCCAAAAAGGAAAAAAAAAAAAAGCCCCAAACACACGGACGCGGAGAGGCAGCCAAGGCAAGGCAGGAGAGCACTCCAAGGTGGCGCAGGCTCCAGCAGGGCGAGCAGGCACTCTGGGAAGGGCGGAGCCAAGGACGAGGGGCCGTCTGATCTCCAAACGCCTGCACGCCAGGTTTTAGCCCTGGTCGGTTACACGGGCCACAGCTGAGCGGGCAGAGGGGTGCCAAGGCGCTGGCCTAGAACCATGCCCGTGGCAGCCCCGTTCGTGTCCTGGGAGTGCAGGCGCCCGCGGTGGGTATGGACCTCACGGCCTCTCCTTCCGGAACACGGGGAGCCGACTGGACATTGCACCTTCTGGGCACGGTACTGGCTGCTCTCCCTGTGACGTTCTTCCCGTAGTTCCTCACCTACTCGACCCCAGTTCCCGGGAGATTAAGAGTCCCTGTCCGCCCAACTTACTTTTACCCTCAAACCTTGGAGGAAATAACCCTTGCCGGTTCCACAGACGGAAGGCACGCAAACCCCATCCCCAGGGTAAGGGAAAAGCGCCTCATCTCCACAAAACCCAAGGGTGGCAACAAGGCCAGGCCTGTTCCGATGTCCTTCCGAGTCACGTCGCCATGCAGGGGGTGTCCAGTGCCCGAGGCTGCCACCAGAGACGAAGTGGGGCCCTGAGAGGCTCCCAGGGAGCAAGAGCGCTGCCCAGCAGAGCTAGATGCCAGCTGGCCTCACGCCCCACCGGATGCTGCCTGCCAAGAATATGGCAAGAAGATTCCCTGCTTTGGCCGCGAAGAGGCCCTCTCTCCGGGGCCAGACATCTCGTTCCTGAAGTGCTCATGGAGGGAGACGGTGAGCGTGCACCTGAGGGGCTGCACGCTGCCACCACCTGCCGAAGGCGCCCCCGGGGCCCACAGTTCTGCCACTGTCCAAATCAGCTTCCGGCACTGCTCTCCCAAGGCCACTGGGCCTCCCAGGGCCACTGCAGCAAACCTGGGCAGTCTGCACCGCGCTGCCCCTGCGCAGCCCAGCTGTGCTGACCCGCACGTGTGCCGCCCCAGGCCGTTTCCCTCCTGCCCTCCGCTGAGTGGGGCCTCGCCTGTACCTCAAGCAGGACACCTGTGCACTGGCTGACAGAGACAGACAGGCAGTTCCTGAGGGGTGGAGGTGCGGGTCACTGAGCGGGCCACGCCGTCCCCACCCGCAGCAGGGATCCCTGCTCTGAGAGGCTGTGCCCAACACACAGGCAGGCCAAGTGGCCTTTGCAGCTGCAGGTTCTAGCCCATGCCCCAGTCGCCACCCAGGGGACAGCAAACCCACAAACGGAGGCCACGAGACGGTTGGCGCTACAGGGCCTGGGGCTATTCTCGAGATCCGAGACCTTTATTTTCAGAACTGCCTGGCAGATGGCGCACCAGCCCACCACGGCAGGCCTCTGACCAGGCACAGCACCAAGATGTATACTTAAACGAAAACGCACAGCCCATCCCACACACGCAGACTTCCCCAAAAGCCACACAACCCAGACCAAGGAAACCAAGCTCCACACCCGCACACAGAAGCTGTCTCTGCTGTTAAGATTTACAAACTTATATACTTTCCTCTGAGAAACAAAAACCAAGGGGGGTTGGAAACACTTGTAGATGAAGCCTGCCGGGCCCAGTGTTCCCCACTCCCACAGGAGGGTGCCCACCCTGCCGCCCCCGACCCCACGTGCCACATGCGATGGCAAGCCCCAGCCTGCAGGCTTTGTGGCACGCCCCAGGCTGCAGCGGGCCTCCAGGCGGGCCCTTCCCTGCGAGTCCGCAACAATGGAGAGGCGAGCCCTCCCATGGAGGGCGCTGGGTCAGAACACAGTACCGGACGGGAGAAGAGCCCTCTGCAGCGGAAGTCCCCGGCCACAGACTGACGGGCTGGCGAGCCCAGGGCTGCAGGACAGTGCGGGCTCACTGGATGGGGCTCTATTTGGGCTCCTCGATCACCCCCTTGCTGAGGTCTGTCATTTTGGGGTATTTCACTTTCTTCTGGTCCAGCTCGTTCTGAGCCCACAGGAGAAGCTTCAGTAATTTTGCCAGCTTGGGTGTCGACTCACGGTTCTCATAGTCCAGGACAGCTTGGTTAACTTCACTCCACACCTGGAAGGTGAGCATGCTGATGAAACCACCGGGCACACGGCGCTGGCGACACCATCCGGAGCCCACACGCGAGCTACTGAAAGCCAACATGTGTGCGTGGGAAGCTCGCGGTCACTGGCGGGGCCCAGCACAAACGGAGGCCCACTCGGCCTAAGGGAATGGACTCAGCAGAGGCGCAGGCAGGTGTCAGGGGAGGCTGGGTCCACAGGACCCAGGAATAGCTGGGAGGGAGGGCCCAGGAGCAGACAGGATTCTAAACATGAAATGCTGAGGACATCCACTTCTCAGAGTCTCCAAACAAGTAAGGTTGAGGTCATTACAAAAAACTGGGAGGACCAGCAGATGGTGTAATGGTTATGTTGCTGGACTCCCACTTGGACCACGGCTCGAGTCCTGGCCCCAGCAGCTTGAAACTCACACCAGGCACGCACTGTGGTGTGGCCATACCCTCTAGGGGATAACTTCTTGCTTTCTGCCTCTTTGTTCCTCTCTGTCTCAATGGTGAGTGCACGCACTCTATAGCAAAAAACCTCTCTTAAAAAGAAAACAAAAAGAACTGGCAGACCAGCAGATGGTGTGGTGGTTAAGGAGCTGCACTCCCACATGGCCGCGGTTTGAGTCCTAGACCCAACAGCTTGGGAGTACCACTCAGAGCTGTGTGTCCATGCCCAACACCCCAGAGGAGAGCAGAGAAGGGCTGCAACTGCCCATCCTGGGGGTGGGGGCGACTTCTCACTTCCTTCTCTCTCTCTCTAGAGAGCACACACGCCCAATTCCAGAAACTTTTAGAATAAATAAAAATTTAAAAGATTAAAGGGACCAGCATATAGAGTAATGGCTATGTGGCTGGGATCACATGTATGGCTTAAAACTCATGCTGGGTGCATGTGCGTGCATGCCCAAGATCCTGAAAGGAGAATGGAGGAGAAGGGATTGCTGTGTGGCCATCCCCCTTGGGGGGAGGGGGGGGAGGTGATTTCTTGCTTTCTGTCTCTCTGTCTGTCTGGCGAGCACATGCGCCCTATAGCAACAACCTCTCTCAAAAAAAAAAAAATAAAAAAAAAAAAATAAAAAATAAAAAGGCGAGGGTTCACACCCTGTGTAACAGGCACAAACTCTGCTGTCCTACTTCAACAACACACACTGCGAATAGCAGGGACGGAGCACGCCAGGACGGGTGTGCTGCATGGCTGACCCCTGGACAGGCTCTGCGCTCGTGGTCAGAGACCTCCCAACAGCCAGGCACACCCTGAGGCAGGGCCAGCCCGGGGACAGACTGCTGAAGGTGCCGCCCTGTCTCTCATCCGTGGAAGAAATAAATAAGCTTAAAAAGGGAAGTCAGGGAGGAACCCCCACCATCACACCATGCTGTGGCAGCACGCGAGCACCTGCCCTCACACCGCACCAGTCGTGACACACGCGCCCTCCCGAGCCCGCCTGCTTGTCCCTCCCACGTCATGGCCAATGGGACCGGCCGCCCACCTTCTGCCTCTGCATCACATGGAGGAGGTCTCCAAAGGGCGAGTCCTCAGGGCTGTCGAAGGCCAGCAGGGCCAGCGTGCGCTCCATCTCTGTGAGGCACTCCCTGCTCTCCTCGCCCTGCTCGGCCAGCTGCGTCTGCGCAAACTCCAGGGCTGCCTCCGTCTCCCGCTGTCGGATCAGCTCGATCAGATGCTGTTGCTGAGCAAGGGCAAGAATAAGCATGCTCAGGCTGCACGGCCACACGCGCGGCAGAGCAGGGAGGCACGAGGCCCAGGCAGCAGGACACCTGCGGAGCGGCTTCTCTGAGAAGTGGTCAGACTGGTACTTTTAAAACGAGATGCAGCTTGTGAAATGCTCGGACAGCAGCTGACCCTCCCCTCCCCGCACAAAGCAAAGCAGTGGCCTGTCCGCACAGTTGGCCTCGACACTGAGTCGCCACGAGGAAGCCGCTGCGAACGGGGCAGGCCGCTGTGAACACACCTGCAGGTGGAAGTACAGGTACCGGTGTGTGTCCAGGAGCTCGGGGTGCAGGCTGTTGATCAGGGCGATGGCCTCCTGGATCTGGCCTTTCAGGATCATCTCCCGGATCTTGATCCGCTCATCCAGCGTTTCGAGATCCACACTAGGCTCGATCCCAGATTCCATCCGAAATTTCTCTGCTGCTTCCTTAAAGCCCTCTGAAAATAAAAACACCTTCACTGCCCAAGTTAACGCAGACTTTGTATCCAGCCTACCAAGCCTGACCATGTAAGCCGAACACCCTCCCGTAGGTGCCACACCGTCAGGGACGGTAACTCCCACGGGTCACCATCTTTATAACTTGTCCTCAAAACACGAGAACAGGGAGAGCACGCTTCGAGGCCTTCGTGTGCCACCCAAAAACCTCCAACCGTTCAGCCGCAGAGGCGAGGAGGTCTCCCGGCCCGCTGTGCTGGCGTGGGCTCCTCTAAGGAGGCTGATTCCAGGGCCAGCTCTCAGAGCTGCAGGTCTGGTTCCAGGTGGGGCAGGGCGCACTGGCTGAGCCTCCGGTATGGCCTGCTTTACCTGCCATGCCCCGGTGACTCCTCTGAGTCGGAGTGTATGATTCTTTCCAGCTTCAAAGCCAGCATGTGTGTCCCTCCCCCAACTCCACTCACAGCTCTAGTCCCACTTTCCTGGTCACCTTTTAAAAGCGGTTTCAAGAGATGAATTTGGGGGCGGGGTGACCAACAGGGGAGTTCACGGGCGCCTTCTGAAAACACCCGGGCTTTCTCGCCGCATGCAGGGCGACCCTCCCGCTCCCACCTGGGGACGGCGGAGTGCCGCTTCCTCTCGTGCACTCTGCCCTGCCCTCCGACCTGTGGGCCCCCTTCTAGAAACAAGCCGGTACACCTCGCCAGAGACCAGAGAGAGCGTTTGTCCGGGCTTTCAATGTTCAGCCAAACGCCTTGCCTGTCCTGTACCTGACTATAAAGCTGCCACAGGTGGGGACAGGCTGCTGCCTGAGGTCTCAGAGACAGAGATCTCCCCCCTCCAGAACAGGTCACCGTAAGACCCTTTACAAGGGTCCCATGTAGGCACTGTCTCTCTGCAATGTCTGGATGCGAGGGCGTGTCACCACTGAGTCTTGGTGGCAAAGTGCCACGCGTGTGTCCAAAGAGGGAGGACCGTGTTCCGCAGTGTGTCCGCACCGTGAGCCCTCACCTG